GAGAGAATTTCAAAAACCATTTTTAAATGCAGGGACCTGGAGAGAACTTTTAACCCATAAGTGACAATTCTAGTACTGTACAGGGCGGATCTATAGTATGTCAAATCCGTTGCGCGACTGATGTTTGAAATTCAAAATTACCTATTCATATTAATTAAAATTCATTAATTATTCTTACTTTATTATCGCATTTACTTCGTGATAAAAATCCAGCTTTTTTTATTATTGAAAACTAATGACTAATCCAATGAATATCTCCTTGGTAACCAGATCAGTTGAATTTTAATTGACCTGGAATAACAGAATGATAAGCGGGGTGGCTTGACTGGTTCGACGGATAAAGGAGTCTATAAACGCCAAAAACGCATATTTCATTGGTCAATACACAGATCAGTGCAAGATCTGGAATAATCTCGACCGATAAGCGGGGTGGCCGGACCTATAAGGTAGTCCACTTGCTATCTTACAATTGGTTCATTTGAATTTTTGTCTTACTGTGATTGGTTTGACCTATTTTGACTGATAGCCAACTGAACTAACATAGTCAAGCTCACTGTCTGAATTGAATGTTTGATCGTTTCATACTAATTTTCTAAAGCATGATAGAAACTAATCTACAATCAGATGGAATTTATGGAAATCTTTTACAAATTCATATATTGACATGAATGCTGCTTTCCAAACTGGGAATTTTTTCAAGAGGACGAAGAATTTATGGATGAATTGTAAATGCTTGGCAAAGACGATCTCGCGAGCGACATTTCAGTCATTGATGTTCAAAAGCAAGCCAACATTGTTTTGAGTTTTATCAGCAGAAATTTGCATCCAAAATCGTAAGTAAAGGACTACTGAAGTGTATGCATGAATTTAACATATCAAAGTTAATTTATGCGAGTGTGTGATGTGATTTATGTTAATATGGCGTATGGTAAGCAGATTGATGCTTCTAAAATTGTTGTTCCGCAGAACTTTTAGCCATAATTTCTTTAGTGCTTTGGGAATCGTGACCGTTATATGGCAGTGAAATCCTACATTCCTGAACATATATTTCAATGGACAAAAAATCTGTAGCCATAAAGCGCCATACTATTATTTACTTTATCATAAACAAATGTTTGGGGCTTTTCAGTTTATGATCATGATCATTCAATCATTGGACAGTTATACTACATATTGTTTAAGATTTGAGAGAACTAACATTGATCACATGAGAAGCTGTTTACTATAACCTGTGATTTAGAGTCTTCTGATCCATGAAGCTTTTTATTTTGACAATTTGACTGGAATGGTATTAAACCTTAGTATTTCATATACATGAAATGTTGTCCCATGTCACATATTGTCCCCTTTTCTAACTGAACACCTCATGTAGAGATGTAAAGGTGTGTTAATCTATGGCTCATACCAGATTGTTTGCCATAAATCCCAAAAGGCTATTGATGTATGAAAAGCATTTTCTATAAAGTAAAAATGTCTTCCTATGTATGCAGATAAACCTTGAAATTTGGCAAAACAGCAAAGTATTTTTCATGATCACTAGGTAATTTTTCTGATGATCAGTATAATTTCTAATCTAAATTATTTCAGATTTACATTTAAACAAGCTTTGATCATATGAAAAGATATTTATCATAACCAGTAAGCATGACACATTAACCAATTTTAACATTAATGTAATTATATAATTAAAGACATGTTGGTTACATTCTGTTTGTATATGCAAATACAATGCTACTAGTGAATGCTATATAGCACACCTTGCTGAAGGTAATAGTCAAGTGAAATGCCTAATAAACATTTATGGCATGAAGATGTCCTTAACTGCAAATTTTCACTCTGATAATTTTGCTTAATCTTTGGCAGAAAAAATTTTGAGTTTTTTCTCAAAAGGTGAATTTGCTGGCACTGATGTGGAGATGGGTAAAAGGTTATAATAAACTTGCATGGTTTGAAGTCTGAGCTTTTCTATATCTATGAACTGTCACTTGTAGTAACAAATTTCTAACTTAACTCATTACATAGAGGCTTGAATGGGGGTTTCTAGGGGGGGGTCTATGCCTGACAACTTGGTAGACATTTTTAAAGACTATATCTGTTTTTGAATAACATTGATGTAAAATAAATTTTACGTTCCTAGACATGCTAATGAGCCATATATTTGGCATGATAATGAGCCTAAATAATTGGCAAAACATTCAAGTATTGTTCACTTCATTTTTTTTTTTTGGAAAAAACGTAAGCAAAATGTGTTGTTTTTACGCAAAAACGATGCCCACAAAATACATTTTCTATTGTTCTAAAACGCTAAAAATGGCATTTTTAAGGCTCTGAAATTCAAAATTTCTCAAGGGTGAATGCCTCAGACCCCCCCAGGTGCGGAGCGCCTCCGACGTTTTGTGACTGATGTTTAAAAAATCCTAGATCCGCCCCTGGTACGGTACAAAGTTTTCACAGAGAGTTTTTTGTTACAACTGCCTTTGCTTTTTTTTCAATTCTTCCCAAATTTCCGACTCATTGAATAATACAAGATGTTTAAAAAACGAAGAAAAAATGAAAAGCGTAAGTTTGTAGTTATAGCTAGTTACAAAATTTTGTGCTCCATGCTGTATAATCTTTCGCGTTTCCATTGAAACTAAGCCACTTAATTGTTTGACCGTCTATTTTAATATCCTGGGCTTATAACCTGTAAACTTTTAATGGAGTTTTGCGCTATTTAAAAAAAATAGCATTTAGATAACTGACAATACAACTCGGCCGATTCACCAATAACGAGAGGTTGTTCGATATAAGACTCCCAAATAACTGGAGATTTTTCGATAAACGTTTTGGTTACGTGTCACTCTTATGTTCTTATGTATCAACAATAACAATGCATACCTTGAATATACTAATGTATCAATATATAAACTATTTCAACTTTTATTAGCGCTGATGTATGATTATTGTCTTGATTTTTTTGTATAGTATTCCTGAGCTTCATATTATATTAATTAATATTTAATGACGTAGAAAACTGACATTTGGCTTACATCTAATATATTTTCAATTATTTTCGTAAATTGTACATTTTCCTACTGAAGCACGTTCAAAACACTAAGATAAAGATAGAACAATCCTTTACAGATCATATAGTCGTCGGTGATCTCTGCACATACAGCGTGAACTTTGAGTATTGATATTTGATAAAGGCAATACAGGTATCTGCGTCAGAGTAAATTAATTTCAAATAGATCGATATCACTCTACATATAAATACATTTATTCTTTGATGCAATCTTTGCTATAAAGACATTTGCTACATAATATCCTTCTATAAAGCTTATGCAACTTGATCCAAAAAAGTTAGAACATGATGGCTCACTAACAAAATACAAGTTAGCCACAATCAAACACGAATGTTTTACTTTTTCATTTCCTCAAATTAGTGGTAAATTGCGACCTATATTTTTCCAATAAAAGGCAATTAGCAAAATTCAAAACATTCATAATTTGCAGATGTAACAAAGGTTTGTTTACATAAGGGCACTGATGCTTATAGAAACGGCAGTGAGGACATGAAACAATTGAAAAGTAAGAGACAATAGAGACAACATATCTAGAATGCATTGTATATGATATCAAATGTACAAAGGTAATATCATTTGCACAAATATATTTTTACAGCCCAATATTGCGCTAGTATGTATAAGTTTGCCAATATATCTTGCAAAATATTTAGTGCATGGTTTACACATAAATTGTAAAATATTTTTTGCATATTTCTTAGAAGCCACTATCAAACCACATCCAAATGCGTTTATCTTGTTCGTCACTGTGTTACTACCTTTTTTTTTCATCTCCAGGAATTCAGTAATTCAATTTGCATTACCGAAGAGATTGTCAGTTAAAACGTCTCTCATTTTTCAATTCTATTACATATTGATGAGTCTTTCAGTTTGATGTTTTCATAAACATGGTTAAAAGAAAATCCAGAACAGTTAGGAAAACGTGTCAAAAATGATCAGCACGCAAGATCGGAAAGAACTTTTAGTGTATTAGGTAGTTGAATTTCTAATAGCTTGTCTACGAGTAAATTTTGGCAAATCATTAAATGTCTCTCATCAAAACAATATCTTTAATACTCCTTTGGCATCTTTTCTCACTGAACACATAATAATGCAGTAAATTATACTACTTATGGTGCCACATAGATGTGGTACCCTATCATTAAAATTTTTCGCAAACGTTTAAGAAATTTATATCTTTTGCGTTGATATGATACAAACGTTATCCAATACGCCCTGGATGTGACTTCACGCACGCCATTCGTCATCGTTAATTACCTTCTCATATTTACGGTCAATAGAAAAATGTTTAAAATCCGTAAATTAAAATTCGCTCAAACTCCACAAACATAAAACTTTTCAGTTATAAAATATACTGCAAATTTTCTTAAAATCTGTAATCTATTAAAACATTGTCAGCTTTAAAATATATCGCAGGAACTTTATTTTTTTGTCGTCTTTAAAAAATCAACATAATATGTCTCTCAAGCTTTAGTGAATTTCCCAAGATAGTCAAATACACACGTGCTCATAGTTTGACAATAATAAGTAGCTAATTAAAACAGTACTTGACATTTATTTTGATATGTCACATATTTTTTTATACTCATTTTATTAATGTGTTTATGCAATTCGATGAGCGCATTTTTATTTGTATGTAAGTTTGATTTTTGTAAACCACCTTTAAAAAAAGTTATTTTCGCGCTATCCGTTTATTTTAACTTCACTTTGATGTAATTGTACATTATAGTGTATAGAAATTTTTAAAAGGTTTCTTGACATATCAGTAATTTATCTATCGTATACTAATTTACTAATTTTTCTTTAGATAGACATTCATATGAAATGTTTTTTTGCATTCTCTTTATCGACTTTTTATGTCTACCTGATGTTATCTTTATGAATGGCAATGTCCAACTTTATGCTCGCCATGGGTCGCTGCCATCAGACCTCATTATGAGAAACATCACTTCTTCAAAGATTGATGAATGTCTAGAACAATGTTTAAAAGATTGTTCATGTTTATCATTTCAACTTTGTGGTACGGCGAGTCAACTTCTTTCTTCCACCATAACTGACGAGACAAGTAACAATGAGAAAAGTCAACGTCAACATTTCACAATGAAAATATTGAAGAAAAAGGTAAAAATATTACATTAAAATAAAAATGTCCCTGCCTGAGCGATATTGCTGGATGATAAAATAGTTAAATGAGGAGTTCTTGTTATTTTGTTGTTTTTTTTTGCTGTAGGGCTGTAAAGACTAGCATCCAAATCAATTACTAGAAACTAAGTTTAGAAAAAACAACTGTGAGCATTGCAATCTTAGAAACAACTTATTTAAAATGCTGTGAGCAAAATTATAGCCCGATCTTCAATTGAAAAATTTTTTAAGGATTGCAAAAGCTTTGAATTTATCAAGAATTTCCTACACTGCCTCTCAAATTATGACATGAGCTAATCTTCCTTTTTTTATTAGAAAATATGTGCAGCATTGTTGTCATGGAACTGCGTGTTGTTAAGTATATACATCAACAATTGTAGACAATATAGTATTATGGTGGAGAAATTGCTGCTTCTTTCCATTCATCATTAGCAAAAGCAAAGTGATTCATTAGCCAATGAACTTGTTTATTACGTGCTTAGTAATGTAAATAGAGTCTAAATTGCGCTGCAATAATTTTTTTTTAGTGCCCAATATATCCGCCTCTCAAAGTGATTATATAAATAAGTCGTGAACGTCGTTAAAATTATATTTTTTTCTTTATGCATTTAAGTATACACGTACAAATTGTAAATACAGTTGTTTACATCTCATTGTCCCGTTAAGGTACATAAATACTAAAAATGGTAACCTATATCTGCAAAATCATAACATGTATATGTTTTCTGTCTTTTTAGGATAATTTAAGCTACCCTCACGGCACATGTCATGTGAAAATAGATTGCTGTTTTCCATCAAATTACTGAAATAGCAACGGAAAATGTCAACTATCAACCTCAAGTTCGAGTGAAGTCCGCGCCTTTTGCGAATGTGAAGAAGGATTTGTAGGTAAACGTTGTGAAAAGAAAGCAAAGTCTTGTCAAAATTTTCTTGGTCGTTCAAATGGTTGGTATCAAATTTTTGCAAATGAAAGTAAAATGGTTAAAGTTTGCTGTCAGTTTGATTCTGCGCATGTTTGGACATTGGTTATGTTATACAGCTTTAAATTACGTGCTCGATATGAATATGAACCATTTTACAAAAACTTTCCTCGAAATGAAACAAATGAAACATGGGAAGATCACAGACTTTCATTTGATGCAATGATGAGTATAAAAGAAGGCGGAAACACGTTATGGCGTATCACGTGCTCATACGGTGACAAAGACTGGAATAAAACAGATTTGGTTGTTGCAACCCATGAAAAGTACCAATTTTGGAACAGAAAAATAACGCTGCCGTTTGCCTAAATGTCAGTTTTATCGATATCAAAGGCTACAACTGTACAAATTGCAGCATTCCTTTCTGGCAAGATGACGAACATATTTTTCATACAGACAATACCCATGTTAAATATATATGCAATCTGAAGAATTTCCAATCATCAGGCTGTAGCAATAGTGATGGTTATAGAGGAGAAGATAATTTTGGATATTATGTTTGCTATGTAACTACACATCGTTGTGCGTCATCAGATAATGCCACAACACAATTATGGTTTGGTGAACACATAAATTCGAACTGATAAGTACAATGTACGACTTTTAAGTTAAGCAAATTGTAAAAAAAAAATTAAAATGGTCGTTGTTGACATAAAAATTTCAAGTAACTACAGCTATTTATAGAAGAGACAGGCATTATTTAAAATATTTAGTCAATCGTATTATTAGAAATTAGAATTCTATTTTGCCAGTGTAAGTTTACTGTAGACATAATTATTTAATAAATTATAGGGATAGAAGAACAGACGAATTTTGAAAAAAATTGAAGTAAACGATCGAACAGTTACTTTGCCTCGCAAGTCAAACACAAAAGTTTGTCTGACCAATAAGCTTCTTCTGATAAATTGATTAATTAGCTTTGTGTTTTTTTTTTTTCTTTAGCGAATTGTACCTGTCAAAAATCATGTTTTAATAATTTCAAAAAATCTTTGACATCATCAGTTGGACTTTTTCACAGAGGAAAATAACCATAGATCTTATACTTGCACGCATAGAATCGCATAGAAAACGATTATACAGAAGGGTCTCTTGTGCGAAAAATTAGATGTTTTTGCCCTCCACAGGTTGTGCTGCACACAAAGGTTGACAATATTGGTGGAGTATGTCGTTAGAGTCGTTTTCTCTTCCGAACCTTTAGATAATACAAAGAGATTCTTAAGCCAAAATGTTCTAGAGTTCGCTGTTCATAAATGACGTCATGTAAATTTAAATGTTCGAAACAAGTGACAAATCCTAATTAAACGGCTGGAGTAATTGCCTACGTAATTTTTGAAAGAGCATTCTGTAAAATAATTATTCTATGCTTACATAACTTTATTAGGTCAGTATTAGAAACTAAGCTTGAATAACCAATGTCATTGTATGAGCAATCCCCCAGTCGGAGTTGTTCTTTTTATATTCTGCGCAAGCGTGTACGAAGATTGAATGTTGAGCACGATGAAACTACGAGCTGAGAGGTATTTTACTGAAAATCAATGATTTTGAGGTTTTTAAATACAATTTATTTGACATAGTTTATCTTCCATCAATTAAATAGAAATTATTTGAAAATTTTAAATTTTTATCGTGTAGAAACTCAATATTTCATATCTATTTACGAATGCAAAATAATAAGTAATATCAAAGAATAATGATTATAGAGAAGGGACACTGAATTGTGCACACTATACCATGGTCTCCACTGTTCCAGCAGGATACTTTGGGTTTTTTCACTTTTTTTTAGCAACTGCAATAACATCAATCCTGTATAACTTTGTACATCACCTAGCTTTTTTCTGTTCATATCCAAAGCAAACTATCCTGCACTTCGTCTTTCAGACGTTTGTTCTTAAATTATATTTACGTTTTTTATGACACTATTATAATCTGAGAGGGAGTGAATGCTAAATTTCGGAAAAAATGAATTGATACCTGATTCCAAATAATGTTGAAACTGTCCTGTAGTGTCTTTACTTAACAACATAGCAATTTAACATGAATAGTATAAAAAAAAGTTAAGATGCTTTGGCACATATAAGTGTTTCTTATTAACATATATGAGTGTCTCTGATATCTCTTACTGTATTCATTGAAAATTTATATGACAATATGATATCTTTTATATGTTTGTTGGTGTAGATCGTCCAGGTTAGTAGAGTCCTGAGAATGACTTTCGGTATTGATGTAGACTGACGTTTCGACAACATTAGTAGAAATAGTGTTAGTTGCTTGTTTTTTTTTGGATTGTGAATGGGTCGTTTTTAAGATGGTGGTAGTTGTTGTGATCTGATCAGGGGTTTTTCTTCTAAGTTAACCTATTAACTTTCTAATGAAAGTCGTTGTCCATAGTCAGTGCTGTAAGTAATACATTATCCCGAGTCCCAGTCAATGTTGTGGTTTGTCAGTCAGTGATGTCATTGGTTTTGTCCTGTTTCTTTATAGCTCGTTTGTGTTCGTTAAGTCTTATATTTATGTTCCTGCCAGTCTCTCCGATATAGGAATCTTGGCAGTCGGAGCAGTTTATTTTGTACACTGCACCTTATTGTTCGTTGAGTTTTTCTTCATCCTTGATCATCCTTAGACCTTTATTTGATGAACACTGAACTCTTTTCACATGCACTCCACATCAGAGGTGCTTCACTTAACCAATGCTGGGATTGTATAGATGACATAACACTGCCAGTTCTCAGAACCATACGATGTCAGGGAATTATGTGCAGAGGTCACAAATGAACTCACTGCATTAAATTTCATGTTTTCATTTAATGACTTAGTTCTCGTTCAAATTTGTACATACGAGTCTTCACTATTTGAATGTCATCACTTTAGCAAGCTTGGCTAGCTCAGTCGGTAGAGCATAAACTCTTAATCTCCTGGTTGTGGATTCATATACTTTATTTTACTGAGAGGTAATGCAATCATAAAGCGATAAGTGGTATTTTGAAGAAGATCTTTGCTTTTCGTGCCAAGACAGGAAGATTGCTAAATTTTAAATGCACCTTGAAATATCCATTATTTCCAGTGATGCTTAGTTTAGCAAGTGTAGATGGTTCCCGAAAACGACAGCTATAAATATAAACTATAATGCAAATCATGGCAGACAAATGCAGAGGACCAGTAAAACATTCAAGAATTGCTAACTACCAAACGGTTCAGTTGCAACATATATAGTTGATTTCATTGCAAGGCCCTGAAATAACAACTGTGTAGTCAGTAACTTATAAAGATTTAACTTGGAAATTTGTTGCCTTTTGGATATAAAAGTTTTTACATAGTTTCTGATACATATCTAAGTATATCCATCAAGCCCAAACGAAGGATATAAGAGAGAAAGAATATTGAAAACAAATTTTTCATTTTTTGATATATATTTGTAAATTTAGGAGCTAAAATTATTGTTATTGTTGATGCCTAAGGACACGGGATGATGTTAGCTGGATGTCACGAGATCAGGACGTATTATAAACGATCGTGTCATTATATAGTTATTATTGTGCTCTACTACAACCATGTTGCATTGGCACTAATCAAAGATAACTTTTCCTTCTTCAATTAACGTAAAAATGCCATCAGAAACTAACATATTATGTACCCATGTTCCTGAAGATGGACGGTCAAACAACTAAGTGGCAAATGCTGAATATTATACAGCATGGAGTACAAAATTTACGGCTTTGATGCAAACGAATGGGCTGTTCAAATCGTTATTTGGCGAGGAAATCACACCAGAAGAAATCGCTCCTTTAACTTCCGAAGCGACAGCTGATCAGTTTAACAAATGGCCATATAAGATGGAGGACGATACAATGAAATTGAAGCAATCGACGAGCGAAATAACAGCGTTTGGTGTCATATTGTGTTGGCGCTTGACAAAAAAAGTTTCTGTATAATTGACATAATTGTTTTTCCCCAAACTAGTGGTTTAAGGCACTGGTTGTAAGTGCCAGTCATCAAAGTGGCATGGGATCGAATCCCATCTCTACCAGCACGTCTTAAATTTAAGAGTTCATTTAGGAAATTTCAAAAAAACCTTATGCAAATGTGGAAATTTTACGTGAAATAAGAAGGATGACAATTCTTAATTTTTATACATTTATGGCATCATAGTTTGAGGAACTTTTACAATTGTGAACAGCAATTACGAAAATTGATATTGTGTATCACATGACTTTGTCATTCTATGTTATAAATGGTCGTAGTGAACACGGTTTTTGCTTTTTCTACATAAGTAAGCAAGTAAAATTTAGGTGTTGTTTTCGTGTTCTTTAAGAAACTATTTTAAGAATAAGTGTCATATGATTACAACATCAGCAGTTTTCATTCAGATAGTTTATTTAGAATTTTGATAAGGATATGTCAGATTTATACCCTAAATGATGTCGCATAAACGAAACGAAAGACATTTGCTACATAATATCCTTCTATAAAGCTTATGCAGAGTCATCAACAAAAGTTCTAAAATGATGTCTCACAAACGAAATAAAACTTATCAACAATAACACACGTATGTTTTACTTTTTCATTTCCGCGTTTGAGTGGTAACTTGCGACACGTATTTTTTAATAAAAGGCCATTAGCAAAATTTAAGACATTCCCAATTCGTAGGTGGAAAGAAAAGTTTGTTTACATAAGCGCACTGATGCTTATAAAAACGGCAGTGAGGACATGAAACAATTGAAAAGTAAGAGAAGACGGAGACAACATATCAAGAAGGCATTGCATATGATATCAAACGTACAAAGGTAATATCATTTACACAAATATATTTTTCACAGTCCAATATTGCACTAGTATGTGTAAAATTGCTGATTGATTTTAGAAAATATTTAGTGCATGATTCATCTGTAAATTGTGAAATTTTTTTTTCATATTTCTGCGAAACCACTATCAAACCACCTACAAATGCGTTAATCTTGTTTGTCACTGTGTTACTATCTGTTTTTTTCAATAGTTGTTTCATCTCCAGCAATTTAATTCGTATTACCGACGTGATTGTCAGTTAAAATGTCTCTTATTTTTCAATTCTATAACATATTAGGAGTCTTTTAATTTGAAGTTTTCATAAAAGGGTTAATAAGCAATTATTGGATGAAGATAACAATGACTTCGGTCTAGAATTATTCAGACCGAAGTCATTGTTATCTTTCGAAGCGAAACTGAGGTGGATAACATTGTCCGAAGTCTGAATAATTCTTGATATAATGCAAAAAACGAATTCAATAGTTTTTTTTTATTCATTGAAGTATTATGAAAACATATCAATACAAAAC